TATCACGAGTAACCTCAGTTATATCTATCCGAACTCACTTTGAATTTAATGGAAAAAAACTGCTTTAATTGGGTTTTAGTTCAAGTTTGAATTTTCTTCCATTAAACTGATTGAGTAATAAAAATATTAGTATCCATCGCGAGCCTAATTTTTTAATTCATTTTATATATTTTATTATGTATTTTATTATTTAATTTTAATAATTTAAAATATTAAATGTATAATTAATTTAAAATATTAAATATATGATTAATATTTTAATATTATAATTTTGATGAAATATGGGAGAGGAGTTAGTGAGAGATAATCGGGAAGACAACAAACACCCTTCATTTTACCCTTACTAGTATCCTGCGCAGTGGAGTTGCACGGTATACTGTATTAGCAAACTTCAAATTTCTCTATTTCATTGTCTCAAATGTGGGTAAATGTAGAGATTTTTTTTAACAGTAAAGAAAACATTCATTTATTTATTTTGGATAAAACGAAAGAAAGAGAGTAAGTATAAAAAAATTTATATTTTTAATTCATTATTATCATTTATTAGTATTATTTTATTATTAATTAAAATAAAAGTCAAATTTTTGTAACATTCAACGGTTATGATTAATTGCCAATGTAAGTGCATTTTAGTTCAACCCTAAAAGAACTAGGCTTTGTATTATTTTATTAAAATAAAGTTTAATTTTTTATTTTTATAATTAATTATTGTTTGTTAATTAAATGTTTCACTTTTTTAACTCTTTTATTTAATTAATTTAATAAATAAATTAAAATTAATAATTAACAATATTTTGACGAAAAAATTTGTGATGTATATCACTAGAAATACACAGATTACCTGCGGATTTTTTTGTGGAAAATGTTTCGCAGCTATACCTACCATTTCACCTGCGCCTTTATATTATGAAACATTACTACCTGCAAAAATTAACTTAGCAGAAAATTTTGTAGGAATTCCGGAGACTTTAGCTGCCATTTTAGACTTAAAATTAAAATATAAGTTTCCTGCGGATTTAACTGCGAAAGGGTTCGCAGGAATTAGTTATCCATTCAAACCACAAAATTCTCTGGAAATATCACAAGAATTGCTGCGAAGTTTGCTGCGGAATTTGCTGTAAACTTTCTGCAACTTTTACTGCGAATTGTTTTGTTTATTTTTAATTTTTACTATTAATAAATAAAATTATAAAACACATATTGATTCTAAGAATATGTTGTTGAGACATTTTTTAATTTTATATTAAATCTTAGTTTTTCTTAAGAAAGTTTTATAATATTAATTGAGTTTTTTTAGTTATTTTTTAAAGAAAATTTATTTATTTAATACATTTTATTGTTGTAAAAATTAGAAAAATAAAAAATATAGTTTATGATAAAATTGTAAAATATAAAATTATTTATTTAATAATTTTTTATTGTTGTAAAAATTAAAAAAATCAAAAATATAAGCTTATGATATAATTGTAAAAATATAAGTTTATGATATAATTGTAAAAATATAAGTTTATTTATTTAATTATATTTTTACTATTATTAAATAAAATTGTAAAATATAATTGACATATTGATTTTATAGATTTATATATATATATATTATAAAAAAAACCTATTTTAAAATAATTTTCACAACAATTTTTTTTGTTTTATTAAATAATAATAGTTTTTGTTTAAATTTTGTCAAAAATTATTTTTATTTATTTTTTAGATTTATTTTTTTAAAGATAATTTTAGTACATATTATTCTTATTTAAGACATTTTTTAAGATTTCATAGTTGTTGCAAATTTTTTTAAAAAATATTTATAAAATTAAAATGATATTTTTAATCTCTATTTGTTCTATTATATTAATTATTTTTAATGTGAATTGTGAAAAAAATTTTCTCACTTTTTTTATTTGATTATATAATTAAAAATAATAATATTTTAAAAAATTCAACAAATAAATAATTCTTTTGAGGGAGGTGTAGTTAAAAAATATAAAATTTTGAATAAAAAAGTTTTAAAAAAAATCTATAGGGTTGTGATTAGGGCTGGCAATGAACCGAACCAACTCGAAAATAGTTCGGAATTCGATTCGACAATTAAATCGTTGAACTAAGTTCATGAACCAAATGAGTTGAGTATGAGCGAAAAATTAAATTCGTTAACTAAATGAGCTGAACTTGAACTATACATAGTTCGACTCGTTAGGTTCATGAGTCAACTCGATTACATATGAGAAGAATTATACTGTCTTTAAGATTAGGTTTAAATATTTACTCCAAATCTTAGACAAATTTAATCTTCAATTTAGTAGTTTTTGAATTAGACTCTCAAATGTATCTCTTGAAAGTTGTGTAGGTTTTGAATTAGTAGATTTCGAAGATAAAGTTAAATTTTAATATGATAACTTTTATTTTATTTTAATATTTTATTTTTAAAAAAATATATTTATTTAAAATGTCAAATATACTAAAAAATATATATATTTAAAAAAATAGTTTTTAAGTCCGTGAATCATGTGAGTTGAACCTAATGAGATGAACCTAACGAGTTGAACCGAACTGTTCGTGAACTTATATCGAGTCGAGTTTGAGCTTAAAAAAAGTTTGTGTCAAACTCGAACTCGAACAATTCTTAACGAGTCGAGCCGAGCTGAGGTAAGTTCGACTCGACTCGACTCATTTCCAGCCCTAGTTGTGATTCAACTATGAATCTCTAAATAATAAAAATTACTGTTACTAAGTATTGATATAATTGAGGTTAAACTCTAAACCTTCCAAATAGTAATAGGTAGCAATGAAAACTCAACCCTAACATAACAAACATTTGGAGTTCACTAAAAACAAAACCCTCATAATAAAGAAATTGCAAAATGGCTCGTGCATCGATCACGTTTGGAGTTGACAAAGCCTCTCCCGATACACCATGACCAGTCTTCTTCGCAATGATCTGAACTCTCGCAATCGTAACCACCAATCGAATCTCCAAACCTTAGTTTGTATTTTTTCCCCTTTCAACTCAAGTAAATTCATCTCTTTGATCTTTTTTATTTCTATATCTATTATCAAGCTTATGCGATTTTACTGATTTTAAGTTAGATTGATTATAAACTTCGGTGATTTTTGTAAGCAAGGTGTTTGTTGAAATGCCACAGTGAGTTTACTTATGTTGATTTTGCTTTTTTTGGTTTTATGAACGATATGTTTTCTAACATAAAGCAGAAACTGTTAAGATGCATTTATTAATGAGGAGTTAGATTGATTTATTAATGAAAGTTATCATCTAATAAAGTCCTTATCAATGTTATCAATTGAGGATGACAAATTATGCCTGCCAGCCAAAAACCTGCCATAATGATACGGTGTTATGGTTGCTGACACAGAATCTGCGATGCCATACGACAAGTTGGTAACACTGGATCTTTCAAGGACTGATGATGTTAGTGCCTTTCTAGATGTTGGACTGATGTTGTTAAGTTCTACGATGCGTGTGATTTTTACATTTCAGGAAGAATCTTATGATTTGTGTTATGATGTATCACACGTTTCATGTAGGATATCAGTTTTGACTACCATAATAGGACCGACTCATTGACCTCAATATTTGAATTGTATAGTTGTCATCTCATTAAATAATTTAGTGAATATAGAAATATTAATGATATGGTTTAATTAAGCTTACTGGAAAGATCTTGTTGCCCTTTTAACCCTCCCAAATATCAACTTTTAATATTTGTTAATTTGCAGGTTTGCTACTATCTCTGGGTGGCTTCCTTGTTTTTCATCCGAATTAGGGACAAGGTATGCATTGCATTTATAATTTCAAGCTTAAACAATTCTTTACTTCCTTGGCAGTGCCTAAGGTGGTACCTGTTATTTTTAGGGTTAACTTGTGCATAGTTGGTTATTAATGCATATATTTGCCTAATTGAGAATTCTCGAACTAGAATCACTGTTTTAGAATAGAAAATTTGCAATAAGTTTGATTTGTTTATATGATTCATTGTATACATCTAATGTAAACACATCAAAGTTTAAGTGGTGGTATTTGTTGGATTAAACAAAAAACAACATTAATTTACTATGAAACTATTTGCATAATCTTAACAATTACTATTCTAGTTAAATGGGTATTTATAATTCCATTCCATGGAGATTCTGCTGAATTTCTCCTACCACCTTCTATATCAATTGCAATGGCAAGGAAACATCTTGAAATACTGCCATGTGGTGGAGGGTCGACCCTTGCACATGGTCTTACCACAGTTAAATCTTGACTATTAGTTGAAATCAAGCTATGGTGAAATTAGTACACACTGCACTAAAGAAACTGTGCTAGCCCATCTTAGTTTTAGTCCGAATAACTACATGACGTCATAGCCTATATATTGAGTACAACATGGCCTATAACCTGTGAAATTGCAGGTCTTCAGCAGAAGTACACACAAATGGGTGGTGCAAGACCCTTTGGGCTTTCAACCTTGATTGTTGGCTTTGATCCATACATCAGGTCACCGTCCCAAACAGACCCTTCTGGCACATTTTCAGCTTGGAAAGCTAATGCAACTGGATGAAACTCAAATTCAAACTCATCCAATGACAATTACCACTAGACCAGACATGTTGGTCACCTTGTAATAACAGTTGATGTTAACGGTAAAGACCAGTTCAGTTCCGTCCAAGACACCGTCAATGTTTGGCAGCCTTATAAAATGAGTGTTTGAAAGAGTGTTGAAAAAAGAGTGTTATTAGCATATCTTTAAATATTTTAATGGTGACAGGTGGTGTAATTTGAGTAATGAGCTGTTTATATATCAATTTTCTTAATTTGTATGGAATTGATTTAAAAATTAAAAATAATATCGGAACTGAGTATGAAACTGAGCTTGTTTGTCGTCGTCTTCGGAGTGCAAAGCCGCAGTTGTTTGCTGAATTATTCAAGGATCCCATCGAATGCACGAGAGATGAATTGTCATTATAGTTAGAAACCTATAAATCTCTGTTTTGGAGATTTGATGGCGGGAACGGGATTCGGTGGCGCTATAGCACCGACGTCACTGGTCAGATCATGGAGAACCTCCTTTTTAACACCGAGAGACGAAACCCTAACAAATCCTCCTCGCAATTCCACAGCTCAATTGCTCCAGAGTCTCATTTTCTCTCATTCTCATAATTTGTTAAGTGCAGCACCCAAAGTTTCTTCTCACGAGGTATTAATGCCTTCGATTTATTATCATTTGCTTGTTTTTAGATTTTTCGTAACTTTCTATGATTTTTCGTTTGATTTGTCTCTAAGGTTTTATCGGACATTGCGTTTCTGATGGAATTGGTTGCTGCTACTTCTTCATATGAAGAAGACTGTGTTCATATCTATACTCAAACATCACGCTTGGTATAGTTCTATTTTCAGTTTTTTTATAATTTTTTGATTTAATTTATTTACTAATGGGTTTATTTGTATTTAATAAGTATACTAATTGATCCGGCTTCTCGCAGGTCCACAATATATGTCGACAAGTTAAGTTTGACATAAATAGCTACTCTTTCGGCAGGTTTCTTGGTTCTTTCAAGAAGATGTTGGATAAGTTTCTTGGAAAAGATGCTACTGGCGATAAGTTAACTGGAATTTGCAGAGCCGCAGCAATTATTTATGTCGTTTGCATGCTATTAGGTTATTTCACACTCCTGAAATGAATTGATATTCTTGCTGCAATTTTACTTTGGTTGTACTCATGAGTATAAGTGTATAATTATGTCTTCTGTTTGGGGTTAGAGGGCTTTTTCTTTTGATTTTTTATTTGGAAGAAAGTGACTACCTAGACTAAATGATCACGATGAACCATCATCGGCTTTTGACTTGGAAACATCTTTGACACTTACTTGTTGTGTGCGAAGGAAAATTTATGAGTACAACCTTTATATGAAAGGTGTACTGTATGAACACATAACTAAGTTAACTGAGAACTACCCATGCCCCAGGTTAAGATTGCGGGTTTTTTTTTGTAAAGAAAGAAACTCTTTTATTTCTCCAGTGTTTAGGGATTGAAACAATGCCTTACATCGTCAACAAAGTTTGATTGAAAGCATACTGATAGCAGTTATGGGTATAACGTTTTCATCATCCTCCCTCCAATCTTTGCATATCAAAAACTTGAACAAAAGTGCATATTTTAAAAGATAAAGCATAAAGATGAAAACAAATGGACGAAATGAATTGAATCAAAAGTCGCAATGCTCATTTCATTAATATAAAAGTACAAACATAATTTAAAGGATAACAATTAATATAAAAGTAAGGAAAATACAAACAACGAGAAACAAAAGGCCTAGTGACTAAATCAGTACAAAGATGAGTCGTCCTGTCTGAAACACTGGCGTTTAGAAAAATAATCCGCTGGGGTCAGGCCGAAGCTTCACTTTTGATGCACTGGAAAAGGATTTTTCTGGACGTTCGGATGACTATCCTCGAAATCAAGTATTCCAGCTCTAACCAACTCACGCACTCTAGCTTTCAGTGCAAAAAAATGCTCCAAGTCGTGGCCTAGGGCACCCTCATGAAAAGCGCACTGGAGATCAGCTCTAAATCCAGCTGGAGGAGGATTAGGAGGAGGTGGTAAAGCCCTTGTAGTGATCAGCCCTTTTCGAACTAGGTCAGGATATAGTTCTGTGTAAGTCATGGGAATAGGATCAAATTGATTCCTATTTTGATGTTGGTTCTGTCTAACAACGGGACGCTGAGGAGTCCGAGTTGGTTGTGGAGCAGCAACAGTATCACCAACATGATGATCAACAGATTGAGGTCTGTGGCGAGACCTTCTTGATTCAGTCATGATAGCATTGGTCTGATCCTCTTTCCTCTTCTGGAAATTCCCATAGGATTTCTTTTCCCTGCTAGAAGATTCGACAGCTTTGGATACCTTACCATTTTTCAAACCCTCTTCTAACCTTTGGCCAATAGTCACCAGATCTGTAAAGCTTGAAGAGACACTCCCAATCATCTTTTCCCAATAGAAAGGAGACAAAGTATCCATGAGCATTCCTGTTAGTTCCTTCTCTGCTATAGGGGGTTCAACTTGGGAAGCTAACTCTCTCCAGCGCAGAGCGTATTCCTTGAACGACTCTCTTTCCTTCTGAGACATACTTTGAAGTTGACGGTGATCGGGAGCCATGTCCAAATTGAATTTGTATTGCTTCATAAAAGCATTGGCGAGATCCCGAAAGCAGCGGACGCTATTATGCTCTAAGTTCATATACCATTTGAGAGAGGCACCACTCAAACTATCCTGAAAGCAATGGATGAGCAGCTTCTGATTGTTGGTGTAAGTCGCCATCCTTCGAAAGTACATGACTAGATGGGCCCTTGGACATGAGTGACCTTGATACTTCACAAACTCAGGAGTCTTAAATTTGGCAGGCAAAACAAGACCAGAAACTAGGCACATATTGTTTGTATCTACGTTGAAGAAATCAGTACCCTCGACAGCTTGGAGTTTCTTATTTATGATCTAAAACTGTTCACGGGTAATCTCAGGCTCAACAAAATCTTCATGGTCTTCCCCTTGAACGCCAGCAACATTGTACTCAGAGGGAGGGTTCTCAAAGGGAGCTTGGACAGTCTGATTAACAGTGTGGACCACAGGTCTGACCAATCATAGCAGTAGATGCAAGAGGTGGAGAGTAGTTAGGAGGTAAACCAAACTCTGGCCAAGTAGATGGTGACAATTGAATAGGAGGTGGATCAACACTTGAAACTTCCTGAATAACGGTCCTCTGAGGTGGCTCTCCTTTGGAAATCAGTACTTGAAGCATCTCGGTGAGCTTGGTCATGCCTGATTTCAACTCATCAATCTGCGTTCGGATTTTCGCATTATATGTCTCTTATTCTGACATCTGGAGTCTATAGTTAGCTCTAGTCTGATATCTGTGTCGAGGAATCAGCTTGACGACTCAAAGAGACACTGAAAGATAAAGATAACTGGACATGAGTTACCAGACAGACATATGATATGCAAAACATGATGCTATAATGCAAAATGCGGATAAAAGATTTCATGGAATTCAAATAGTTACGAACATCGCAGAATACCAACGAAAGCTTTATTTATTATTTTTGAAATTGGATTACAGGTTAATATTCTTCAAAGAGAATCTTAACATAATAGCTAAATAAAATCTAATAAGATCCTAAGGAAGCTTCATGTTCTGCTCCTTGCTCTGCTCTTCTATTTGGGCCTTTTCGAGGATGAGCATGTCTTCAAAAGAGAGATTGAGGTTCGGAGGAGAATAAATCCTCCATTGAAACCAAGCAAGGGTACGCTGGAAAAGTCTCCACAAGTGTTGGTGATTAATGTCCCGTCATGCGCACGGTAACCCAAAAGTTCTACCTTTGGTGATCATAATGCCCTTGATGCCGGATAACCTCAAACATAAGGGTCTAGCAATATCTTGCTCTTTTAGGGTCCTTCGTCCACTTGAAATTTCAACAAGGATAACAACCTTCCCTACTTGTTTCTGAATCCCTCTTGATCTTGAACCAAAGCTCTTAACTTCCTTAGGTCATCCAATTTAAGACCCTTAAAAGAATATTTCAAAGTATTTTTCTACTGTAATCCATGGTATCCTTTAATGTTCATAAATAAAATTTGAATTCCATGAAATCTAATGCAATGTGATGCTTTATGGGTGCAATGCACACATACACACAAAAATCCTAGGTTAGAGGAACAATGAGTGGAGTCAAGGTCTATCCTTCCCAAAAATGTATGTACTATAGGTTAGTTGTACCTGCAGAACAAGGGTTCTAAAGAAGTGCCCAAAGTCATCAGTCCATCTTTCGGATATTATCAACTTCCTGAATGACTCAGTTGTTAATAATATTCTCAAGAGAACTCTTTTGAGTGTAGTATCGCATAACAACTATTTTAAGAATACTCCCTCATAGTCCTCGCACTACGTCCTAATAAAGGCCAAAGTGGGGTTAAAGGTAACTACAGTCCCCAGTATCACAGGTCCAATTGAAAATAGTGAGTGTTTTCACGAGTACTCAATCAACAGTACCATTTTCGAAAGGGCCTCAACTGAGCGGTGATTCTCAAGTCAGCTTGGTCGGGATTCGCCTCCCTATAAGCCTCATCAAATATATCACCTTCCTATAATAACGTCACTCAAGTCCTGGTGTAGGACTTATCTCACAATAAAGATACCCCAAGCAAGGTACAAGATATATATATATATATATATATATATATATATATATATATATATATATATATATATATATATATATATATATATATATATATATATATATATATATATATATATATATATATATATATATATATATATATATATATATATATATATAATAAAGCAAGATATCAAGCATATAAAAAAGGTAGGGATAACCCTCAAAAGATAGGATTGTCCCCAGTGAAGTTGCTAATTTCTGTTGCGGTGAGAATAAGATATCAAATTATTAATTAATTTGAATCAAATCTTTAGTTCACAACCGGTCTTTGATTTATCCAAAGGAAAGGTCAAAGAAAGGAAAAACCTAATTTTGCATCGTAAACACAATGCGGTGAGAGATCTAGGTAAGGGGGTGGTTAAGCTTAGGGAAGGTATTAGCACCTTAAACTTCTGTAGTACTCTACAGGAACCTCTTGTTTTTAATTTTGCTATTTTGCTATAATTATCTGCTCAAGGGTATATGCTAAGGGATAAAGTTGAAAGAGAGACCTAAGGGTTAGTACTAAGTTTACTCGCCAAGATTCACATCTTGTGCCTACGTGTCCTGGGTAGGGGATGAAATCAGAGTAATCGTAGTTCCCCTCAAAAGGGAGGAAGAGAAACTTCTTGACGGTGGTCAAGGTTTCAATGGGGAATAAGCGTTCATATGGAAGCGCTTACGTGGAGTACGGCAACTCCTATTTCTACGTAGAAGTTAAATTCAATTAAAAAGGTAAGATAGGTATTCCGCGGCGGGAAACCTAATACGGAGTGCGGCGACTCCTTATCCTAATGCTAGGGTAAAGGGTAAAACTGTCCACGGCGGGACGCCTATGCATTTAGGGTTTGAGCGATGAAAAAGTCAAAGGTAAGGACTATTGACACGATGGTCAAATGGCTAGACCTAATCCTTCGGAAGAACTATACGATAAATAATGCAATTGAATAATTGATTACATGGAAGAATTAAAATATGAGAAAGCGTAAGAACGGTAACGGCATAAAAGCGACGATTGTCTTGCATAAATTACAACCAAAATAAAATACGAAAAATAAAAGCTATAACTGTACAACTGAGAAAGCAGTGTTAGGAATGACATGAAAGTTAAGCGAAAATTTAAGCGGGGATGTTAGGAATTTTATTTTGGAGTTTTTAGGTTTGGGGTTCAACTAGAAATTAAAAGTGAAAAATTAGAAATTTAGAATATATTTTTCAAAAAAAGTTTTAAAAGTAACTGAAAATTAATCTTAATTTTAAGGTTTTTTAGAAAATGTTAGTAATTATTTTAAACTCTTAGTATTAATTTATTTATTAAAAAAATGGATTTAAATTTTAAAGAAAAAGCTAAATTTGCTAAAAAAAATTAAAGAAAAGTTAATTTTTAATTATAAATGTTGGTTTAATTTTAAAAAAGTTTTAGTTTTAACAAAGTTTTATTAATACATCAGCTTAATTTAAAAAA